TCTTGTAAACTGTTTACATGTTTATATGTCATGCTTGAGTCTTAACACGTATTTCTATCCTTTCTGTATTAGAAGGAGAAGCAGAACAAAGCAGGACAGAACTAAACATATTCCTATAGACACATAAAACTGCTGTATACAGAGTTCTACCATGGTCACTGTGCTGTTTCTTATCATCAACAGAATTGGCTATATCATCAGATAAAGTATAATTGAACATATCAGTACATAACAGAATTAATAGAAATACAACTTTGTAGATAGTGCAGAGCTACAAAAATAGGTAGTAATTAATCAGAATGGATATCGTGGTGAATCATTGTCATTTTCAGTATAGTTTTCTATACTCCTCAAATTGATACCAGCAACCTAACAGTTTTGAATGAAATCTGTCAATAATAAGCAGCAATCAAACAAGTCAGATTCAACTAAGATCATTCATGATACAGCAGTGTAAGTCATACAGGGATCCTTATTGGGTTAATAAGAAATTAAAGATGACCACTGTGCTATGTCCTGATATCTGCACAGACAACTGTCTGTGCCCTCAGATCCCATGCTTGTATACAAACTAGGATGGGACAAGTTCCAACCAAGCAGAGTAGTGCAAGTAATAAGGATTTTAATTCCTGGTACACTATTAGCTATCTCTTCTGCTGGTTTTTTTTTTAAAGACTATTCCTCCCCTTTACTCCCCCAGAATGAACTATGTATTTTGGGGGTTCCCCAATACTCACAGTTTTATATTGGGGGGGCAACCTGCTATTTACCTAAGTGTTCCCAAACTTTCTCACTCCTAGGCTGGATTTCTGGTTATATTTCTTCATTTATTAAAGCCTGTCTGTTCAACCTATCCATAAATACTAGTCCAGTTACCCCTATTACTTTCTGGTTCCCTATCACATTGAGTTTCATTTTCTTATATTTGATTTTGGTCCATATAACCTTCTTCAGGCTAATTATATTTCCTATAAAGAGCCTCTCGGTGGACCCTACCTCTTGATTCACTCTGCCTGCGATTCTCTCTTTTTTCCGTTAAGTTAGTGTATCTATCTAGGCCACCTATATTAGAAATTATATCCAACCTTCTTTGCCTCATTTCTGTTGTGCTCTTTTTCTGTCATTAGTTGTCTGTTTGTCTTCTTCATTTTGCTTTCTGCTCCATTCATTGTGGCCTCTCTGCCACTGTTTCTGGAATCCTGGTACTTTTCTCTCTCTTTAAAATGTCCTGCAGTATTCTCTGTAGAGCTGGATTGGTGGTTGCAAATTCCCCAGTTCCTCTTTATCTTGGAAGCACCTTGTTTCTCCATTAATTTCTAGGGACAATTGTGCAGGATATATCAATCTTGGCTGAAGGTTATTGTCTTTCAAGATTTGGATTATTTCACCCCACACTCTTCGAGATTTGATGGTTTGTGCCAAGAAGTCGCTGTAATTCTGATGGGCTTTCCCTTGTAAGTGATCTGTTTGTCTGACAGCTTTTAATATTCTGTTCTTATATTGGATTTCTGGAATCTTGATTATTATATGCCTGGGTGTAGTTCTGTTCTGGTTGTAGGTGGCTGGAGTTCTGTATGCCTCATACATCTGAGCATCTTTTCCTTTTCCTTTGTTTGGGAAGTTTTCCTTAATTATTTCTGTGAATAGCCTTTGTAGTTCCTTTGTTTGTACCCCTGCTTCTTTATTCACATTCTTTATTCTTAAATTATAGATCCTCTTGTCATCTTCTAGCCTTTGTATTGTTACTGTTTGTTTCCTTGTTATTTTTAAGAAGTTTTTCCTTTCAAGTTCCCACATTACAAACCTGTCCTCCAGTTCAGATAATCTATCCTTAGTTTTTTTCAAGCTGTTATGCCAGCTTTCAATAGAGTTTCAATAGAGTTCCTGGTAATCTCTTTGAACCTGCTTCACATATTCTATTTTCTCCATTAAACAATCCTTCCCTTTTTTCTGTTCTTCCATTCCACCATCTGTTTTTTCTTGGGAGGTGCTTAGCATTTCTTTAACTATTCTACTTATATCTTGCTTTACTTGGTTAAATACTTCACTTTTGAACTCATCTATGAAGTCCCGAAGATATCGCTTTATGTCTGTTGGTGCCATGCCTGATATTGCATGTTTCCTGTCCTCATTCTCCTTTGCATTTACCTTTTCTGGATCAGTGTTCTCAGGATTGGGGATTGAGGACCCTTTCTTGGTGCCTCCTCTTCTCATATTTTTTGTTCCTTCCATACAGGCGTATATAGGGGGTCCAGTTTCTTTCTTTGTCAGTTTCAGTTTGTCTGAGGCGCAATGACTAAGTGGTCTCACCCACTGCAGTGTACTAGGAGGTACAGACCCAGGCAGCCTATGATGGGCCCACCCCTCCAGGTCAACCTACTGATGGCTTCACTGCATAAGGATGCACTGCCAGGCACAGGGACTTGGTTAGGGCCAGCTTATTGGGCCTCAGTCCATGGCATCACCCAGGTCAAGCGCTCCCCACCAATCCTACTTGAGAGGGGACTGGCCTGTTCTAGCTAATCTGCCCAGTCCCAGAATGTCCTCTGTTGGAGCCGCTTTGTCTATGGAAGGGTCTTTATTCCTCTCACTCACTGCAGGTCGATGCAGGGTTCCCTGCCAGCTCTGCTGTCAATTCAGTTTGCCGATTCCTGCTCTCAGAGCGTTCACGTCTCCAGTGAGTTGAAACTAGCAGGCTATCCTGGCTGCGCCAATTTAGGCATGGCGGCAGCAGTGAGTTCAATCCATGAGTTCAAACGGCAGCACCGAGACTTTAGCTGTTCCAATCATAGCACCTGAACTGTATTTGCAATTGGTTTCTCTCAGCTTAGTACATTCCTGGGTCAGCAGGGTATATCTCCCTCTGCTTAGGACTCCTCACACTGCAACATTCTTGGAATCTAAGCTGGCTATCTCAGAGAGCCTCTGTAGCTGCTGTTATCTGCCATCTTTACTCGATCTTCTACATGGTGATTCTTGAGATTTCAGCTCCAAGGGGCTGCAAGTGCTTTCAGGTGAGTTATCCAAGGTGGTGTTAAAAGTTAGAGCTGCATCTCTGCAAAGCCATTTAGATTTCAGGCTGACATGGTTAGCCAAGAAAAGGAAAAGAACCATGAGCAGATGGCAAGGCTTCTCCCCAGCTCACTGGATGAATTCTGTGAGGGAGTGGGTCGAATTGCAAAGGTCACAGGACAGTTTCCACTGGGAACGTGAGCACAGGTAGCTCTGCAGCCTGCAGTGCAAGGAAGTGATGGAATTTATTTCTTTGAACATCTGTTCTGTATCTGGGTATTTAACAGATCCTTACTAGTTCTAATAATTTTTCTGTCACATAAATCTTCATTTAAAAATAATGTCCCCTTGTCCTTCTTTAGAGTCCCACTTTCTCATTTCATTTCTCTTCTTATTACTTTAGCCAGAAAGCAGATTTTTTTTCCATGTTGTTTGAAGGACAAAAAAGTGTTAAGTTTTGCTGGGGATTTAGCTCAGCAGAGTAAGCATCTACCTAGCAAGTGCAATAGAGTGAGTTATATTCCTGCTACCAAAACAAATACGTGCTGAGTTTTTTAAGTAGTTTTAAGACATAGGAATTTTATATAAATTTGTACATATATGTATATAAATATACATATATATGTACATACATAAGATAGCTAAGATGAGTATACTACTAATTCTAATAGAAAAGAACAGCTAATACTCATATGATCAGATCAATTTTGCATGTCTATATCTGGTAATCTAAGCAATGCTTTAACATCTGCAATATTATAACCATTGTTAAATTCCTATCATCTTGTTTGTAAAACCTATACTGTTATTATTTTGAGTTTGTTGTTTGTTTGCTTCTTGCTTTTCTGTTTTTCTTTCCTGTGTCTTTTTTCCCTTAAATGAAGAAAGAAAGAAATATAAATTTTAAGACAAAATACTAAAGATAAAGGTATTGAAGAACTATTATAGTAAGTACTAAATTGTATGATGGTGTATAAAATAGGGTAACTATATATATATGCATATATATACATGTAAGTAAAGAGAGAGAAAGAGAGAGAGAAATAGAGAATAGCTAAAGAACATTTCAGATTTTTTAAAAATTACCCAATGGGGAGAGACTGATAGGCAACAGAAAACTACTGCACACTTTTAACATGCACCATGGTAAAGTAGTGGACAATAGTCAAAGTTTTTGCATTTTTTATGGAAACTGAAATGTAACACCATATAGATAACTGATAAGTTCATTTGACTTCTTAGTTTATAAACAGGGCAAATCATATGGATCAGCACAAATCAACACATTTAAAACATTCTGTATTTCCATGGTCTCACACAATTTTGTTAATACCAAGTTTGGATAATATTTGAATAAAGTTTCCGTTATATGAGTTAAATATAAATGTGTTGTATGTAGAAATGATTCCTACAGCAATACTGAGAGGTTACTGACACTAAAATATCGTAAAAGTAGTTATAGTTTATGGAAGTTTCTCTATGATCCCGATTAGTAATCACAACTCATCTTCTATGCTTTGGCAAATTCCTGCCCACCCAACTTGATCTACTAATAACATCTGTACGCTGTCAGATTCCACCATTTCAGGTGCAGTGCTGTTTCCACCACTGTGCAAATAGACGTGTGTGTGTGTGTGTGTGTGTGTGTGTGTGTTCCTTGCCTTTCTCTTCTTTCCCACTTACAAATCTGTCCCATCCTTAGCCTAATGCATTTCCTTTATTCAGAGAAGGAAAAGCAGTGGCTCTTACTGCTTGCAAAGCCAAATCACAGTGGAACTTACAATTCATCTTTCGCCACTCTTAAGTTTGCTGATTATTTGCTTAGCTAAGTGGAGATTTTAAAAGAAGCAAATGGAAATTTTATGAAAATAGTTAACATGAGATAAATAACAATTAAATTTATAAAATTATATACTAATGTTTTCAAAATCTTTTCTATCATGAAGAATGAAGTAATCCAAAACAATTAAGTGATTACTATTTGGAAAATAGTTTATTCACTTTAGTAGGCAAGAATGTTTTGAGAGATGTAATTTAAGTTCCCTCATGTTGTAGGTCCTAAAGCACCATCACATACTCAGAGCAAACAAGGCCAGCATTTCCAGGACATGCTACTGAGTCGCATCCTCTGCCCTTTGATGGATAGATTTCTTTTCCTTTTTCTAACTACCCTTCTGTTTTGAAGTGCCTGAGAGATTATGAAGATAGCGGGATAGAAAGCAGAGGATGAGGACGATGTCGATGGGAGTTTTAGTTCCCTTTTAGTTCTCAAAAGAGAAATATAGATGATAGACAGACAGACAGATAGGAAGTGATTTTATCACAGATTCTGCTTTTGGCATTGCTAGAACAAGGCACGTGCTTCCGCTGTTCCTATGTGCTTGCTCCATTCACTCTGACATCTGCAAAAAAAAGAAATTATTAGGAAATAGCTTTTGGCATTGTTTTTGAGAAGTGTCTCCCCCCGCCCGCCCCCCCCCCCCCCGGCGCCTTTTTCTAGTCTCAGGACATTGGGCAACTTTTCTGAGCCTGGGATCCCAGATGTAGCAGTGGCCCTGATTGACATCTGGGCCTGTCCTGGCCATTCTTACTGACCTGACCCCTGTGGTTACTTCTCAATAATGCTGAATCACTAAAAAAAAAGCAGGGAAAAGATCAAATCCCAGACATCTACGCATCTGTTCAACAAACATTTACTGATGGTTTTGTGATATTTCCAGTATAAACATAATGATTCTGTATTCAGTGAACAGTGAATTTATTACATCTAATGTACTGACACCCCTTAGCTCCCCCTATAGGGGGGGTTGGATTAAAGTAGAGAAGAAAGGAAGAAAAACTCACATACATTCAGTTGCATCGCAGAGAATAAAATCTGTAAGAGTCTGTTCTTCTTGCCACACAGTGAAAAGGTTAAAAGACCAACTGAGTTAACTAATCATATTTGTGCAGCTGCCTGGTCCTACGCACAACAGAAACCTCATCTTTGCTGTTTTGTGGAAGAGGTGATAGCCAATAGTTTCTGTTTTTTTGTTTTTAATCTCATCTCTGTTCATTACGCTTTCTATTTTCCTATTCCCTAAACAGCTAGGTACTATTAGCCTCAGCAAAGGCTCTTATTGATGAAGTTTAATATCCAGCTTGGGTTTAATTTTCATTTAGGCCACTGCATTCATTCACTCAATAAACATATCAAGCAGCGTGTTCTATCCCATCCCGTTCCATTCCATTCATAATTTTTTCCTCCAATATAAAGTCATGGTTTCTCCCCCTTGTTAGTCACCCTGAAACAGAGTAGACCAAAATACATATTCACAAGTCATTAGAAAAAACAAAAAATCAGAAAATAAGTGCCAGTAATGAACATCAAATATATCCAGCTGGAGATCTATGAATAAAATGACATTGGAAAACAGTGAAAGAATACAACATGATATGGTCTGAAAAAGTATGAAGACTTTATTTGGGGGAATAGAAAGAGAAAAGGGAAAAAATATAATCATCGATTGTTGTATATTTAGAAGAGGCAGTCAGATGCTGTGATTTAAGACTAACAAGCTAGATAAATAAAAAGTTAAGTCAGAATGAAATTGCAAGAGGAACTCTTCATGATTGCCAGTTAGACCAAGTGTTTTTGGATACTAGAATCACAATCTAAACAATTAATAAATTGGACTCATCAAAATTAAAACATTAGTTTACGGATATGTCCTATTAGAAAAATAAAATGACAAACCACAAAAAGAAAATATTTACAGATAACAAGTCTAAAGGACACTTATTTGGTATAAAAATGTTCAAAATACAACAATTTCTCACCAAAACACTCAATCAAAATGTATCAAAGGACCTTAACAGACACTCTGTAAGAGGTAGAGACAGCAAATATACTTATGAAAAAATGTTTGACATCTCTGGTTATTAGGAAATTCAAACTGAAAGCAAGAGCTAAGCAAGGGAACTCTCAGTTATTGCTGATGGGGGCCCCAAATTGTACACTACTTAGATTCTTAAAACACTAAACATGTGCTTACCACATCACCTAGCAAGCCACATCAAGGTATTTGCTCTAGAGAAGTAAAAACTTATGTTCACATAAGCACTTCTTTACATTAACAGTTCAGAATTAATAGAAACACTCCACATGTTCTTCGGTGAGGACACAGACAGAAAAATTGTGTGGTATATCTATACAATGAAATATTTTTAAAGGAACAAACTAATATTTCCCTATCTTGAAACTGAAGTCAGGATTCTTGCACCATGCTCTATCCCCAAAGCTTCTTTATTTTTAATTTTGCAACAAGGTCTCTTTAAGTCACTACTTTGTCCAAGCAAAGCTTGAGTTTGTATCCTTTTGCCTCAGCCTTCCAGATTGCTGGGACTCTGAGTGCATCACCATGCCTGGTTAGGAATGAATGGTTGATACATCCCAAAACATGAACAAAGTATAAATGAATTATAGGAAATGAAGGAAGTCTGTTTTGAAAGTTTATGAACTGTGTGATTACATTTATTTGGCATTCTGTAGAAAAACAAACTGCAGTACATAGTACATAGAGCAGAGACAGTTGTCAGATTCAATGGTGATCAGGGATTACAAGCTCAAGAAAAAAGTTACTACCATAAAAGGGCAACTTGAGAAAATATTTTGAGGTGATACATCTGTCCTGTACATGAATGATGGTGATGACTACACATACAAACATGTGTATTAAAACTAACAGAACTATACCCAAAAACAGTTAATTCGGCTGCAGGTAAGCTTAAAATATTTTAGTGATTTTTTTCTTAGATTTAAAAAAAAACCATAAATACACAAAATTAATTCCATTGCATAAACCTAGATTAAATACTGTTGTTTATGCTTTGAAAAAGAAAAAAATAAAAAGAATTTTAGTAAAATTTTGAATACGGACTTGATTCTAGATCAAGTTCTGAGATACGCGCTTTTGTTGTAAAATATTGTCATTCTTAGGAGCTACATGCAGAGATATTTAAGTGTGAATTTCACAATACCAGTCACTTACCTTCAAATGGCATGACAAAAATAGAAACATTTAAATATATAAATATAGGTATGGGGAAGAAGACTCATCTTACAATTTTTCTAAATTCTCATCTTTGAACAATTTCACTAGATGTTATGGCTTTTATCTAAATCCCCCCGACCCCCAGAGCCTCATGTGCTCACTCGTAAGTGGGGCTGTGAGGAGTGACTGGGTCCTGAGTGGTTGATTCTGGGTCATGGTGTGTGACACTGGATTAGCACCCTGACGGGGTTATAACTGAGTGTGACGTTGGAAGATGAAGCCTGGGAAGGGGTGGGGCACTGTGGGTAGAGCCCAGAGGGTATACATCCCTCTTCCACCCTTGATGGCTTGTTACTTCCTGTCTGCTGTGCCATGGACTGTCTCTCCTCTGTATGCCTCTCTCACTTGGAGGTACCAACTATGAACTGAACTTCTACAAACAAAATAAACCTCTCCTTTAACTTGTGAGTATTGGGTATTTTGTCCCATAAATAAGAAAAATGATACAGGTATTAGTCAAAGCCGAGTTCATTTTGAAGTACACAAAAGACAAAGATAATCATAAATTTCTGCTTTTGTTAATCTTCTGCACCTACTTCTCTTAGTTTATTTTCACGAGGTTAACCTACTCTTTATACTCACAATAGTATGTAATCAAATATTTAGGGCATTCATACGATTCCTAACTACTGTTTTTAGGGAAGGATGCATCCCATCAACTGGAGCGTGAGGTAGATATGCATCCAGGAGTCACTGATTCAGGAATAACACCAGACAGAGTCAAGCCAGTTGGAGGAAGTGATCCCTATGGAAGTATACAGGAAAGTCCAGTATATCTGGGCATAGTGAGGGACTCACTATCAAATAAGAGAGTTGAATTTTAACAGGAATAGGCAAGAAAAATAAGATGATAATTAGCTTCAGAGACAATAAAATGTATCAGTGGAAAAATAATTATACTTTATGGATCAAGTATCTGCTTTTATTAAACTACTAAAGTAATTTTTACATTGTCTCAACAAGCTAAATACAGAAACATAAACAAAATAATAAAATAACATATAAAAGGTCAGAGCAAAGGATGTGTGCCTGTACCTGGAGAGGAGTGGAGAAAAGACACCAAAAAGAAGTGAATTTTATCTTCCCTAGTATAGTCAATAGGCAATACCTAACACTGAAAAGTCAGAAGTAACCAGCGAGATATAATGGTATATACCTGCAGTCCCGAGCTCTGGGAGACTGAGGCAGAAGGATCGTAAATTTGAGCCATGCCTGGGCAACTCAGTGACCTAGTGAGATCTTGTTTTAAAAAATGGTTTTACAGCCAGGCTTCATGGTGCACTCCTATAACCCCAGCACTTGGAAGGCTGAGGCAGGCAGATTGTGACAAGTTCGAGACCAGCCTGGGCTACAAAGTGAGCCCAAGGCCAGCCTGAACCACATAATGAGACCTAGTCTCAAAAAGACAAAAACAAAATGTTTTTACAGGACAATGTGTTGGAATGTGTGTAAATGTAACTCAATGTAAAGGCCCTGGGATCAATCCCCGGTTCTTCCCAATCCCCAAACTGTAGTAATGTAGCAAATAAGAATTTCTATGAGCTGTGGAAATTAACAACAAAAGATACAGAGCGACATTTATTGAGGAACTGGATTGGTCATACCAAATCATTTGACTCTTTTATATATATTTTAGTTAAAATAAAAGCTAAATTTTAAAAATGATCTTTTGATGGTATAATTTCTCTTTTTTAAAAAGATACCTGTAGAGATTACAGTGATGATTTTAATTCATTACTGTCTACTGTGTCCAGAAATTTCTCTCATTAAAGAGTTAGGATTTCGTCTACCTTCCATCCTTGTAAATTGGCCACATGACTGACTTTAGCCAATGAAAGGACCCCTGGTGTTACAACAGCATTTGAAAAGTGCTTGTGTGATTGGTCCTGCTGTCTGTCGCACTTGTACGTAGCATCAGCACATGCTTGGGTCTGCCTGCTGTGGTCAAGACATGCAAGAAACAGAGCAAGTCTACCTGGTCCTTGGAGAGAACGTCAGCCCCAGAAATGTGAGTGAACCCAACCAATCTCAGCTTAAACTGATTCACCACAGATTAAAACTAAGAGGACACATTTGATGTATTTGAGGTATTTACATTGTCTCTGCTGGTCATATTCATTCTAGGAATCCCGTATCTTTCAAGCTGACTTGACTTTTGTGGTTGAGTAGTTAAATGAAAGCCCAAATAAAACAGTTTGAGGAGGAAGGAAATGGTCCCCGTTAACCCAGGCATCACACTTTCAGCAAACACCAATATTTTCGTGCTACCTGGGTCTTGTGGGCCTGTGCAAGATCTTGTATTTCATTCA